ACAATTAAAAAAAACCAACAACAATGATATTCACAGTAACCACTGCAATAATGATAATAATAAAATTGATTACAATTGTAGTGATAATGACAATGAGCACAGTAACAGTGAGACTGACAGTGACATTGACAGTGAAAGTGACATAGACTGTGACAGTGAAAGTGAGTGACAGTGACAGTGAAAGTAAAAGTGAAAGGGAAAGTGACAGTGGCAGAGACAGTGACAGTGATAATGACGGTGACAGTGAGTGACAATGACAGTGAAAGTAAAAGTGAAAGGGAAAGCGACAGTGGCAGAGACAGTGACAATGATAATGACGGTGATAGTGATAATGACGATGACAGTGAGTGACTGACAATTACAGTAAAAGTGAAAGGGAAAGGTACAGTGACAGTGGGAGTTACTGTAACAATGAAAGTGAAAGTAACAGTGACAGTGAGAGTGGCAGTAACAGTAACATTGACAGTGATAGTAACAGTGACAGCAGCAGCGATAGTGGCAGTGACAGTTAATTTGACAGTGAGAGTGACAATGACAGTAGCAGTGAAAGTGACAGTGGCAGTGACATTGAAAGTGAAAGTATCAGTTACAGTGAAATTGAAAGTGGCAGTGACAGTGTATGTGACAGTAAAAGTGAAAGTGATCATGACAGTGACAGTGACAATGAAAGTGGAAGTGGCAGTGACAGTGACAGTGGCAGTGGCAGTGGCAGTGGCAGTGGCAGTGGCAGTGGCAGTGGCAGTGGCAGTGGCAGTGGCAGTGGCAGTGGCAGTGGCAGTGGCAGTGGCAGTGGCATTGGCAGTGGCCCTGCCAAAATGGGAGGTTCTAATGTGAAAAGGTGTCTAGAAGGAAGCCAACATTGACTTAAGTTGGTTGTAAGAAATGCACAGTTTTTTGGTTTTTTTTTAAATTTACATTGGAGACCTTTACCATGCTTATTTGCTCAATGTTGGATTTGCGAACTATGAAGTTTTATCTCTTTATAGTTTGGACTGATGATGGAATGGTCACCACAGATCAATTGATCTGTCTATAGGCTTATATCACACCATCCCTTATCGTTGATATATCTATACCTTAAGTCAATGGTCAAGATATTTTTAAGGCTAAGTTGAAGTTAATCACAATTGTGGCATTTTCAAGCATGAAATTAGATACAAAATAAGTATCCCCTGCCATTCCACAGACATTAAATACATCTAAACATGTCATTTTGCAAAACAAATTTAAAATTTGCTGGGGTAGTCTTGCTTGAATTTGAATGTTCAACACTGACTCTTGCAAACGGTGATGGGCTATATGTTTGACAATCTTCGAAAATCCTCTTTAACTCATGATGGAAAACAGTCTCTGTTTTTGCATTAGGCTTTGAGGCATATGTGTACCATGTACTTTGTGATGACCATTAGGTAGCTTTACTTTAAGTGAAAGAGACCATGATATCATGCAGCTTAGGGCAGTGACTTGGCATTGCAAGATATCTCAGATCAGGTCTCTGATTGGTTGATTAGAAATTTGGTATGAAATGGCACACAAAAATACATTCAGGTATATGTACCTTTTGATCCAGTTGCATGATGCTTTGTTGAAAATGTAGAAACCTCTCATTTACGCTTGTGTTTAGACCAATCAAAACTTGTGCAGCATCCTGCACTGTGAGATGGATATCCTCTAGCTCTGTATTTTTGCCCTAAAAAATAAAACAGACCAAATTATTGTGTTAGAGAATAAGTGGGCCTACTAAAGTTGATAAAATAAGTAGAACAGTCCACATTTTGCTTTTGAACATAATGATGATAGGGACTGTAAGAGTGAGAGATTCAGATAACAATACATTCTTAACATTGGTATTGAAACTTACCTCGTTTTTCATGTTTTCCAAATCTTTTTTCACCTGTCATAAAGTAAGAAACTCGTGTTAAACACAGTGCACTAATAGTAATTTTTTCCTTATTTAGATAGAACTGGAAATGGATGAATTTAAACTTGCCTTTATTGTTAGCTCCTCCAACTCTGCTGAGACCTAACACAAGGGTGAAAAGAAAAGAAACTACTCAACATCATGGATGATTCATTTTTCTAATGAATGGTATATTCTTAGTGATGATTTACAATCATTATCATTATTGTTATTATTAAGATTAGGATGATCATTATGATTATTAGAGGTGAACGAATGGTAAACTTATGTTTTTCTTCAGTTCTTTTACAACCCCTGAAACCTATAACAATAAAAGAAATATAAATCAATATTCCTGATTGAGTTTCTTTGTACATCAACACTTTCGTGTGATTTCTTATTCATAATGATCTGAGGATGATGATGGCTACAGAGGCGCGCAATTTGCATGATAAGGTTTGTACCTACTATGCTGCCAAAGATGGTTCAAAAAATTAGGAGAACACTGGTAATGTCTGGAACAATGACACCCAAGAGGACCTATAGTAATGTTTATCAGACTCCCCCAGGCACACAACAGCCTGATTAGAAATAACATTTAGATCACCCCATTGAAAAAGTTAAAGCAGAAGAAGTGTACTGTTGTTAGTACAAAAATGATGCCTCTAGCCTACGCTCCAGGGAAGTATTAAAGCTCTGTTTAAAATCTATATTTCTGTACCATATTT